GATCTTGGAAAATGGAAATATTCGATGTGAACTTGAGAATATAGAGAGTTTAGGGTATCGGTGTACACATGCAGCAGGAAACAATACTTTGATAGCATCGAAAAAGAAAGTGCAGGTGAACGCACCCCGAATCGCTTTCTGTCATGCGAAGCAACCTGTAGACACGAAGCCTCCTTCAAGTTCGTGTGTTTCGAGTTCTTTAAGAACTAACGTAATTTATTTTGATTCATTTAATTTTGATTAACTTGTGCTTGTACAAAGCGAACAAAATGTTGTCTGGTATATTTCAAAGGGTTAATTCTTCCGAAAAAAATTCTAGATACTCGAAGACCTAACCCGAGTTCTGCGTGTGCCTGGTAACTTATTGAGCAATGGAAATGTGAAAACCTTGAGGAGAATTTAACCTTTCCGCCGAACATGAATCGCTGATCCTGAATAGCTCGCTCTTTTTTCGTGCGAAACGACTGAAGATTAATAACTATATTCGACGCACGGAATATCAAACCAGATTCCAGCCAACGCGCGTATTCACGTCTGAAAGATATCCCAGAAGAGGTACGCCGGACAATATAATCATTTTTACGAGCAACAAACCGATTAAGTCGTGTCCCTCGCTGGTACGCAATTTAAAAGAAAGCAGTAAACGAATACGCTTGTTCGACAGAAAATACACAATGGAAGTCTCGTGTAACGCGTTAATGAAAATTGCTAGTCGACTATAGCGTATCCCGTCGACGTCAATATCACACACGCTTCGCGATATCTCTCAATAAAAGTACAAACACGATAGGGTTAATCGCGTGGTTCTATTAGTTTCCCAGCGATGAAAACGTAAATCACCTCTCAAGCCGAAAGTTGTCGAAGAATAGAGAAAGCGTCGACAGGAATTTCCTTATCATATCCGGCTACTCGTCCCGAAAACTCCTCCTTGCATCACGTCGCTCGAATCATTATCATTAACGCATATGAGGTGCTTCTGAAAGGTGCTGTCGTCTCTAAAATACTTGAATTAGGAAGTTCTCACGAAAAAATTTTCTTTTCGAAACAAAATCTATTTAACCTAAAAATCTAACGAGAACGATGGAATGTTCATTGCGTTCGTGACTTCATCGATCAAGGAAATGAGTCAGTTTTTCACCGATTCACGGTGTCTAACTCGAACGATTTCTATCGAAATAGTTGCTCACGGTCTTGGTCGATTCACGTGACTTTTGCTCCGTTCCTAATTACGCGTGACGAATTAAACGTAACGAGGTTTCCGCGAGCAATGGTATAGCCTTCGCGGCGATTCGCGGTCGCATTAACCGGCTCTTAAAGAGGGATCTAGATCTGTCCGCATGCAACCTAGGAAATGTATAAAACACCTTCTGGGATTCCTCTCGTACGACGTCCAGAAACTCGAATGGGAAGCTCCTCGATCCGCGTACGCGATTACCAGGATTATACGTTCATTCGTTCGAGCTGATTGATGTAACGACTATAATCGTTGCTCGGATGTCGGCACTGGCCTCGCTAAGCGTCAGTTTAAATCACCCTACTCTCCCATCGGTCGGAGTTCTAAATTTACGACTTTCTCCGGTTAACCTGAACTCGAAGCACCGTTCCGATTTGTATTCGCGGCGATATCGAGATTCAAACGCGCGTGTACATCGCCCCGTTCATTTTTCTTGCGGATCAAATACTAATGATCAACCATAGGCACAAACTAGACGCAGTCATTCATGAATGACCTGCTTTGGCGGTACAACTCGATGGACAAAAAACATGTAAACCCATCCTTGCCTATTAAACATTCTTTGATTAGAAATGCACCGACGATCATCTTTCGTTTAATCAATTATTCAATATAGCGTCGTAATAGGAAAACGATGTTATCGAGTTACAATATAATTAACAAGTGAGGAACTTTAAAACGCGATAATATACGAATAAATCCTGCTGACCATAATCGTATGCGACATTACTTCGCGACATCAATGTCAATTCGTCTTCTTGAAGTCGCTGACACGAATTCCCAACTCTCTTCTTCATATAACTTTTACAGTCAACCACGTCATCGACGTGTCATCTGCGAGATTCTTATTAACAAGCGTAAGTGTTCAAAAATATTGGACACTCATAAAATAAAAGTCTTAAAGAATATTTGCATTTCATTTTTCCGAGCGAGTATAGAAACACACACACGTTATACAATACGTTACAAACGCTTTTGAAGCCGTTAATACGTAATTTCGTTGACTAACGATATATTTTCCAAGACAATACTCATTGTCACACTTCTGAGAATGCCAAGGAGCGGTACATTGAGATAATGCACGCGTCTCTATATTTGACGATCATCGTGGAGAGCAAGTGGTCTCAACGACCCTGATCCTGAAACTTCAAGATGCCTAATTGTTTCGCAACGACTGGACTGGGACATTTGTTGCAGCTACGAACCGAGAGACCGTCAGTTTTCGTTACGTAATTCCAGTTATTCGTTTGCCAATATATTAGCTGCATGGAATCGCGATCCCCTCTACTGGTAACGTCCAGACGTTTGACCTCTCAAATTCCGCGTACCTCTGCTGTTCATCGAATCCCCGGTTGATCTTTGCTCGATCGCGATCCGCGACTGTCGAGAATATGTTAATGTCTCTGATTTACACGGAGCAATAAGACGGGATGACTCGAACATCTCTCACTCTATACTATATACTCCCCGATTACCTAATCGCGTTTATTGCAGAGAGAACACGAGCCAGATTTATTACCACCTTAATTGAGCAATTGAATCATGAGGTATGCAAGATTATGCGAAACTCTCGTCCGACAGGAGCAATCTTAGCACGAACCGTGAACAATCTCCTCGTAGGGTGTGTAACGATTGTATTGATCGACGGTGCTTTAGATAAACCAACGAATATCTGCCTATACGGAGACGGCGTTGTAATAATCAGCAAGGTTTATCAGACGTTGGGTAAATGTAATATAATAATAAAGGTTTCTAATTTACACGATCGAGATAATGAAGAAATTGTGGTACTTTCATAATTAGTTCATGATTTTGAAATATTAGTTACGGATACTGACAGAGAAAAGACTCATCGATAAAGTTTATGGTGTCATTAGACGTTTGAATAGTCTATTGGAGTCAATTGTGAATAAATAAACTAGCGAGTAATTGACGACTATTCGAACGATTAATAATGGTGCGTTTAAGGCAGGATCTGCTGTATCATGCTAATGAGCTCAATTAACAGATCTGGGACAAAATGTGCGATACAGTTCCTCGCTTATTACGCAAAAAGAGTTTGCTTTAATATACTAAGGACCTCTAAACGGATGCGAAGGACTCTAAGAGGCAAGTGACCCAGATTGCTCCCGATGCCTGAGGGGTTCTACTCTCAAATTTCATGCACAACAAATATTTAACGTAATAACAAACTAGTGTAAGATGATCAAACCTCCTGTTTGCTATTGTTCGACCTGGATGTCATAGAACTCGTGTGGAAATCTATCGTTAATATATATTACAATACTACTCCAGCTTGTTTGAGTTAGTAGACACTACTCCCATCCCTAAGATGCACAAATTACTCATGTACAATCATGCCCATCAAACGGACCAGCGTCGAACGTGTTCTTCCATTAACCACCGAGCTAGAATGTCATCCAAAGTACACCTACTTAATGGGAATACAAACATTTTCAATATGGCAGCCACGCGAATCGCGTCGGGGCACTCTCTTTCCGATATCCCTACAAGCTTACTCTACATCGAGATCTAAAGCATTCCCGTAAAACGCCAGAAGCTTACCGAGTCTCCCGTAGTCCGCGATCCCGAAACGTCAGGATCCGCTGGCCGCGTCGGGACGCGGCGATCAATAGAAGACCAAAAGGCACATGTCCCGGCAGCTTCTCACGCGGCGGTGGCCTCAACGTTGGCGGGCATGTCGTCTACCAAACGCCAGACGCCTCCAGCGGGAACTGTTGCTTCGACGTGCCAACCTTCAACTGCAGGGGTTGCACTTATCACCCTACGAAGTCGAGAGTCAACTCCAAGGGTTGGTCCGATCACCCAAAGACGTCTTCTTCGAGTCTTGCGAGATCTTTCCAGATTGTTGAGATTAACTGGCAGTGGCGTTGATAGGACGACGTTGATCGACCTCAGGGGTTGAGAACACGCGGTGATCGATTCAATAGTTCACCGATTCACTGGTCAGGGTTGAAAGGCTCCATGATGATCGCCACCAGCGACGACGAACGATCAAACCGACGACGAGTGACGAGCATCGATTGGAGTTGGAGGGAAACCAGTCGACGAGGGCTCTGCGTGATTTCGTCGACGCTAGCGTGTGACGACGACGACGGCGTCGGGGTGACGTCGAGAACCGCGGCGGTGGCACGAGTAACAACGCGAAAGCCGAGAAAAGTCGGGACACTGGCCTACCATCGGGTAGACCGACGACCCGGTGCGGCTCTCCTAACGCGGCGACGCACTGCGCCGACGTCGCGACGACGACGTCGTCGCCTAGGCGACCGCGACCTCTCGCACTCCGCCGTCTCCTCTTCCTCCTCTCGCGGAGGGTGGATCGATCAATCGAAGCGAGCGCAGCGCTGCGCGAGATATCGAGATGTCCACGGGGAGGATGAGGACCGTTCTCCCTTTCTATTGTTCCTCCTTTTGTCCTCCTAGAGTCCTAGCGCTTGTTCGACGATTCTAAGAAGCTTTTCCTGTAACAATGGAAAGTTTTTCGGAACATTATAGAAACTAAGCCAGCATGAAAATTATTAAAGGCGAACCGCTGGGTTCTCTTTTAAACGACGAAACTGTCTGAAAAATATCGTAAATTAATAAAGAAAAAATAAATAAACGTGTCATGTTACCCAGACCAACAGTCCCGTTCATTGATAGACCGCGTTTCACTCGCCGCAGTAACGACGATAATCGATTGGCTGTTATCGATTAAACGCGGAAGCGTTCTCCATACATCAAACGGAAAGGTTATACGAACGAAATGGTGAAGAATGCGATCAAGGTTTACGCCAGATTATTGCCTGAAAAGAATCGGAAAAATGCAGTGGTACGACCTCTGTTTTATAATATACAATGCTAAGAACAACCTCGCATTTTCAACGTTTAATCAAAGGAATACCAAGTGTATCACCGTCCCAAGAAAAATGTCGAGGAGGACGTCTTGTTTCTTGCTTCTCCTACGCAAAAGTCGAAGGACTATCCCGACAATCGCGCGGAGTCCTGGAATTTCTCGTGAATTTCTATTGAAACATGCAACTCGCAAGTATTTTCACGCCACGATTTACGAGACACTCGAAACTTTCAGTTTCTTCCGGATATTCGAGGAATCCACGACGCAGGAGGACGTGTTCGACAACGTCGCGCGACCGGTAGTGGAAAGGTAAAAGGAACGGTATCGTTCGTTAATTAATACGAACCACGACTACTCTCTGATCGTTCTTTTATAGTTCAGCTTCGTTCATTGCAGTGCCCTAGATGGTTACAACGGCACCATTTTCGCCTATGGACAGGTAAGCAAGATCAATCGATACGCTGGGCATCGATGACAAACTGGGTTAGGGAGCCATGGAGACGTCTACCCCTTCTGGAACGTAGAAATCATACAGTAGAGTCAACAGCCTCTATATTTTATTGTTTGTATTGGCCAATCACCATGATTACACTGTGTTTCCTCTCAGGCTATACAATACCTAGTTTCCATTCACACACACCACTGATCCTCAGTCCCTAACTACACCCACGCCTCCAACTAAGCTCCAAACAACCCCAGAACCTGTATCTTCGCTCAATCTTGCCACAAAGCCTAGACGGAAGCGATTCTCGAGTGGCACTGAAACTGTGAATTCCGCAGACGGCCAGCGGGAAAACTTACTCGATAATCGGCAACCAGAGGAACCACGCTGACCGTGGCATCATACCTAGGAGCATGCGATACTTGTTCGACGTTATTCAAAAGGTTGGATTGCACGACGCCGGTACCAGCAGAGATCTCTATACGGCCTTAAATCTCCGCGCAGAGACCGGAAAACGTGTACACCGTCGAGGTGGCTTTTATGGAGATTTACAACGAGAACGGCTACGACCTGTTGGATCGAAGGCAACGAGAGTTCGCGGTTACGAGATTGGAAGATTTACCGTAAGTTCTCGTGACGTAAATGGCGGCCCCTCTAGTCGCGCGGACGCGGATACTCGCGGATTTCGTAAAAACCAGACCCCCCTCCCCTCCCCGTTTAAGGGAAACTCCTGTTTGGGAGCCGATCAGCCGTGATTCCGATCAGTTTCAAATATGGAGCAACAGCGAGCGTAAGGTGCAACCTCGTCACCTTTATTCCTTCCTCGTTTCTCGTGGCGTTCCCTCTAACATCGGACAGTGATTACTTCGTTATTGCCTCGAGTGATGAATTTTCTAATTATCGCTCGCTATCGAGGAATTCGAATGGTCGAATTATGCAAGAACCAAGGAAAATCACGGACGTGGTAATCGATGTCTGAAATGAGTTATTATATTTTTTTGTTCAACTGGTTGTTCTACCATTATTTTCTAAATTTACTATGCCATAATTGAATATACGCAACTGAAATCAAGAGAATCTGCATTTTAACTACCTTGCACAGTGGTGTCATTTATCAACCACATTTTGCTCGTGCAAATTTTAGACATCTATTATTCAACGATGACTATTTCCATCTAATACCAAGATACGGATACTTGAATCATAGGAATGTATCGTAAGGATAAGCAAAATTGTTTATGCATGACGGGGACAAGTTTGAAAGTGAAAACGATGTTTGCATAGAGCATGCGATGCTGGAGATAGATAGCCCAATAATCGACGTTCTACCGGGACAAATGCCGCATCGATCGACAATAAAATACGTATCTACTATTTTATCATCTTATCCACTCGTTCATTCCATTACCTAACGCTGGCCGAAACTGTTCGATAAATACCAGCAGTCGCCACGTTTGGTAGAGAGTATTTTTCCTGGCGAAAAGTCAATTAATCAACAATTTCCCAGTTACCGGTGACAGCGGAAGTTCGATCAATCAACCACTCGTAAGCAATACGTTTTACGTAATGAGCTAACTTTCCGATCGCACCTGTTACATGCAACTCTCTGGCGATCGATGCTTTTCCTCGATCCGCCGTTTTAGTTCCTTCGATTGAATAAAAGACAAAAAAAAAAAAAAAAGAAACGCTAACGATCTAACCGCACGTTTCAGGCGAGTCACCATGCAGGAAGACGAGAACGGGAAGCTGCACTTGAAGAATCTGACCTTCCACAGTGTCGCAAGCTTGGAGGATGCGTACGAACTGCTGCTGATAGGCGACCACTATCGGTGAGATAATTTGAATATCGTTGGCGTTGCTGTAGCTAAAGAAAATAATATACACTGTACAATATATAGTGGTACGAGAAACTTGTGAATTGATTTTTTTGTGATTGAGATTTGAGACTAGTTCCTATTTCGAGGTGCGTATTTGCAGAATTACCACCGAAACCCCGATGAACCCCCAGTCATCGAGGTCGCACTGCATCTTTACCATCGTGGTCTCGAAGAAGGAGTTCGGTGCTGAGCAGTACACGCGAGCGAAAGTGCACCTGGTGGATCTAGCAGGGTTAGTATATTCTCGACCATCTCGTATCGACCGAGGATACAAAGACAGCAGGCTCGACTGGGCACCTAACCAAGGATAGGCCGCTATAGAGATCGCTCTAACGTCTAGCCTTCATCAGGCGTCCAATTCCAACTGTTTACACTGATTAAATTAAACGTATGGTTGAGATATAAGAAGTTGGACATACGTGCAAAGTTTCATCGAAACGATGCTCCCCTGTCAGTCAGAATATTAATTTGTTGACAAACATACACCAGCATCCCGCATTCATCGAGCATGCTCGTTGTCATTGCATCACACGTCGACCCACTTTCGCGATGACAAATTTTCTAACGGTACACGATTCTTCAACGTGCGATTTCCATAGGTCCGAACGCGTCTACAAGTGCTCGATAAGCGGCGTCACTCTGAACGAGGCGAAGCACATTAACCTGAGCCTACATTACTTGGAGCAAGTCATAGTGTGTCTGGGTCAGGACAGCGCGGGTCACATACCCTACAGGTGCTGAATCGACTGGTCGACAGGTCTATCACGGATCATTCAGATCTCACAAATGATCTATTCAAATTTATCCTCTTTGCCTTCGGATATGTAAGGCCGAATCCGGATTTATTGCTATCTGGAGTACGAGACCGAATCCGCGTGTAGTTTTCTTTTCGGCTAACGAACCTACAGAATTTCGTGATTTTGTTGTTAGAAAGCGGAACGCGATAAGAGACAAAAATATCCAATCATTAGTCGACCGTGAAGCTGTCGCTTCTCGTCTTTTTATCAAATGTTTTGCACTCCTGCAGGAATTCATGCTTGACGTCGATCTTGAGGGACAGTCTGGGCGGAAACTGCATGACCACCATGCTGGCTACTGTCAGCGTTGGATCTTCCAATATAGATGTACGAAAGATGTTCGATAAAGGACAACGTAGAGAAATCATATCTATTTTAATAGTTCCTCCCCTTAGACTATTGTTCTTTTCATTGTAGAGTTTCCAGGCTATCTATCTAATCGTACTCATTTCACGATCACCAGGAGACAGTGTCCACCTGCAAATTCGCGCAAAGGGTCGCCTTGATAAGAAACGACGTGAAGCTGATCCTGGAAACAAGCATGCAAAGCGAGAACGCCTTGCTGAAACTGGAGAACGAGAGGCTCAAACAACAAATTGAAGCCATGACAGTGCAGACTGTAAATTTTATCGTACCTACAATTTAACGTAAACTTTCAAAATCGTTTATTGATTTGCGCAGAGTTCCCAGGAACTCACCGCGGATGATAAACGAAAGCTGGACCGTCAGATCAGGAACTTCTTAGAATCGAACGTAACAATTAGCTGGGATTATAATCCTAAGAAGACGGAGTATTGCTTCGAAAGCTTCAGAAGGATTTTCGAGTTGAGCAGGGATCCAAACAGTTGCTTAAAGAAACTGGAGCACTACAAGGACATGGTCGTTCAAAGGGACAAGGAAATTTGTATCCTACCTGTTATACTTCACTTTTTCGATGACTCTTCTATTCGTATTATAGCTTCCTGAACTGTTAATAGCATTATTAATCGATCTGCTGAAGAAGAAAAAGGGGGAACAGCACAGGAAAGAAGATCACTGTAATAGATTTAATAATGTTTTCTTTCGCTATTGTTGTTTACTTAATTACTGTTCCATTAACTTTTTAGCGAAGCCAACTAGGGACAATCCTTGTTTAAAACCTGTAAAAGAGCCGAGATCTGAAAATGAAGACTTCGATGAAATTAAATTAAATATACAGAGCAACGCAAGCGGGGAACCATGTAATATTAAATGTCAAATGCCCCAGCTGTCAATTGAAACAACGAGAACTATGTTAGATGCAAGCCTTCCAAAGAGTATAACGAGGATCGATGAAACTATTGTGGATAACATATTACCTACTGTTTTCAATACTGAAAAAGAAATTTCGGTATTAAATCGCGTTCCTTTAAAAAAACTGAGGCGAAAACCCAAACATTCAAAGAACGTGGATCAGGTGGATCAATGTCAGAGGAAAGCTGATCAAAACAGAGCCAATTGCGAAGAAAGTGAAAATACTAGCCACGTCAGTGTCGTGTCTTTCGACCGCTTCTCAACAAATAGATCAACCATGCCAGAGTTGTTGCCTTGCAACATTATCAATTTAACTCTGAATGATCCAGCTGAGAATAAAATGATCGAGGACATAAACGATAAATCTCAAGAGATAAGTCAACAACACCTGCGTAGAACTGACAAGAAACAATTGAAGTGCGATGACCCTCAACTCTACGCCAAAAAAAATGTCAGCGCTAGGGAGAAGATTCGGACGAATGTCAAAATTGATACAGACAGTAACGATCCTAACGTTCAGTCTGATTCTTCAGCCACATTTTATCAGCGACTTCTACACTTCAATGTCCCCGACACTCGTGCGAAGTCATCGAGCAAAGAATTATTTAGAAATGAATCCACGAGTATGATAAACGAGTCTCGGGAGCAGAAATTTAAAGCAGACTCTGATGTACGGAATTTAAAAATTTTAGAGAAGGGACACGACTACATGGAGGGTGACTCGAGGGAAATTAGTAACGTCCATTTGGCAAAAGGCAATGATTATCAATTCAACGACGACCTGGAAAGTAATAGAAATAAAAGGACTGGAAGAAGGACGAGTTTTACAAATGACTATCCAGACCAATCCTGTATTTCCAGTAGAGGATTGGAAATTGGAAACAAAGACTCAGATGAAAAAGTAGGTTATGATAAAAGTAATGAAGATTTTGAGAACGCACTTCCTTTAACTGGTGACCCAGAAATCGACGAAGAGATCATTGCCTTTTACACGGCGAAACGATCGGGTGGCACTTATTAGAGAATCCTTCTCTACAGTATTAATAACGAAATATTAACAGTAGTTACATGCAAGCATACAGTGTTAGTTCACAAATTAGTTTTAAGATTTCATGTATAATCAATTATAATAAATAATTAAATAAATAACTTATAGAAAACACGTTTCGAATTTCGATAATATTTTTAATGTCCATCATCTTTTAATAAATTTTAACGTCCTGGACACGTGAACGTTCCCATATCTAATTTTTCACCATACATCTTCGCTTCCAAAATTGTTAGTCGATTAGCATGAATCGTGGCAAGGCAGTATCGTTTTGCCAAATTAGGATGCTTTCTAACTTTGAAACTGATTAGTTTATCGATGTTTATTCTTATGCTGTATCTATATACAAAGCCTTGGATCCCTGAATAAAAAAAAAACGACAATATTTTATTACATTTTATCGTTGATAATAAACTTTTCAAACTCTGAAAAAATTGTAGTACCATTGTATTCGTAAATTCGAAGGTCCTTTCCATTTTCGACGAAGACTAGCAACGTCTCGATCAACCCTTGGAAATTGAGAATCGAGAACGATGTTGGTCTGTGAGCTTTTATCGTTTGCAAGATCTTAGTTTGTGGCCCGCCATTGCTGCAAATCTACAGAGTGTATCGGGGTAAAATTAATCTTTCGATAGAAGAAGAGTTGGATAGTTATATCGAGGATTTCTCTTGAGTTAACTCACGAATATCCGATCCTTGCTAACTTCCTCGTTAAAGTATAGAAACATCTGCTTCTCGAATACACCTGCCCTAAATTTGAGATTCTCAGAATTCTTAGAACGTTCCCAAACCCTCGAACTGTTCAAAAAATCCACGTTGTATTTATAAGCGTGTCTACTATTCAACAGTACTTGATTATTCTGCAAAATGGCTTTCAGGTCATCTGGGAGTGTCGACAGAGTTTTTTCCAATTCTTTGTTCACTCGTTCTTGGAATTGTTTCTCATCTTTACCCCTTATCAACGTTAGAAAAGCGTCCTGTCCTACGCTCCTGTTATTTATCCTCTTTCCAAGGCTTAAAACGTGCTGAAAAAAATACAAACAATACGAGAACAAAGGTACGAAATAATTTTTAATCTCGACCAGAACATAAAAGCTTACTGTGAACTCGTCGTTCTCGAGTTTCCACAGATTCACGGAACTTCTCCCACAGGAATTGTTTCCTGATGTGATCAAATACACAGCCCGTTTATGGTTGAACGTACTCCATTGATCGACCACTCCAAAATCGGTCACGTTCACGACCAGCTCGAATTGCGTTCCAGTGAACAAGTACATATGCATCTGACAGGTGTTGTAGCTTATCATCAAATAGTCCAAATCGTGCAATTCGAAATAGTGAAGACTAACGATCCTGCTGCCGAACTCGATGATCTGCAGGTAGTCGAACGAGCTGAACTTGTAAACCTGATTCTCAGCGTAGTGCTTCAGATGACTCAGGTCCTCGCAAACGCTGTTCAAGTTCTCCTAATTAAAAATAAGAAATTGATCCCCATTCGCTCAGTGCCTGCTCAGAATAATCCTCACTTATCAGATCGCGTACATTCGTTTCCGACATCAGACCGTCCATTCCCAAATGATTCTTGGCCAAAGAGTGTGACAGCTGAACGAGATTGGTGCCGTTCAAATAATCGCTTCCTGAAGCTCCCTTTTTAAAGTGAACGTTACCAACCACGGTCCACTTGCCAGAGATGATTTGCTGAAAGAAGTTGTTGGTGGTGACAGCCACTGCTTCCCATCGATTAAGATCTATGCCGTTTAAGTAACCCAAGACTCGGAAACCTTGATTGATAACGACTGGTTTCTCGAATATGAAGTTTCCTGAAAGATGGACGCCTTGTGAAGTAAACGATAAAATAGACTTCACTTTACTAAACAGGTTTTACATGTTTCGCGATGTCTTCTCTTTTTCCCGTTTGAAAATTTTAGTACTTGGAACTTTCGCTGTGTATACAGAGATGCAATTTGTCTTTAAGACGCTCTATAATATTTCTATATTGCGAATTTGTTTATTTTTCAGCTGTCAATAATAGTTATCTTACCAGTTACGTTGCTCTTGGAATTCAAAGAGATGATCCTCGTTGGATCAACGCCATTGAGAAGATGCGCGTTGAAATTACGACGCGTGTGAACGTGTCCATGGAAATTGATGTGCCCCGTTATGCTCTGGTTTCCTAATACCTGAAAAAGACATAAGCGCTATTCCCTGGTTCGCCAAGTTTCACCAAACACCTCCGTTCCGACTGTATACCATGAGAGTGTTCTCTCGGAATGTTTTCCAGTCCTCTTCGTTAACTTTTCCTAAAACTTTGATGTTCTCGACGGTGACGTTGCGACATTTAAGAACCTCTACTGGTATCGTTTGATCGGTTTTCAGCGGTATCAACAGTCTCATGTCCAGGTCGTTGAACTTCGAGACTTCGATGTCCGATTGGAAATTCACGTTGGCGAATGTGATGGTATCTGAAAGTTTCTACCGTTACTTAGAGATAATCTCTCCTTCGTTGGTTCGTACAGAAGTTTCTAGAGATCTTTAATATCATTTGAAAATAAACAAACCTGAAGTCTGAGGACAATTACATTACCTTTGATGTAAGTAGGCCTGTTCAAGTACAGAACATTGAGTTTCAACTCATTTATGTCGACTCCCATGATGGATTTCGGATCGAAGTCTGTCTTAACTGTGAGTTCCTTCTCTATTTTCATTCCATCCTTGAAAACAATTTTCGATCGAATGGAGAAGGGCTTGTCAACGAAGACAGCCTTCTTCCAAAATTTCTTCAGATCTATATCGTTCAATTTATCCTGTACGATGAACGAGTCGTTGAATGTGACAAGGTTTTCGAATACTTTCGTCCCAGAAATCGTGACGTTGTCCTCGTTCGTGAACACCACTGTCTTCAGGAAGCTGTCCAAGTCTATTCCCTGAATTAATCCATTCGCGTAGAGGTTCTCTATGGTTAGATTTGGCGAGAAACGAACTTCTCCGTGAATTTCGAAGGTATTATTCCCTAGAGACTTGAATCTGCCCATCAGATCTCGGAACGGTATGCTACCGATATTTCCAGTTGTTTTGAACTCCTTGAGAACCGTCACTGACCCTTGAAGTTTAAGAACAAAGTTAAATCATCGTTTTATGAATCGATTCCATCGGCAATATTTATGATAAGTCTGAGCTTTATATTCTACAAAAAATAAGCCTTGATTCCGCATCTTAAAAACATCTCAAGTACCATTTACAACGACAGGACCCGTGAGCACCTGATCCTTAAAAGGATCGAGTAGATTCTCCACAGGATGCTCGTTTATCGAATTCATTTCGAGCTGATGACAATTAACCGTATTGAATATCTTGAGTCCAGTGACCTCGATGTTCCTATCGGTTTTTAGCACCGTGTCAGAAACGCGTTCCAGAAAATCGAACCCATTCGCCGATCCAAAAATGGTCAAGTTCTGAATGGAGAGGTTTTCCTTGAAGATCATCGTTCCCATTTCATCCGGATTGTACAAATCTTGCAGGACTTGTCCGTTGATGGACTTCGCGTCGATCTTTCCTGTGACTCGAAGAGTCTCCAGAGTCACATTTCCATTGGAAAGATCTGTCAGAAGCTTATTCACACGGTCCATCAACAGATTGATTTCATCCAAAGACATTCCATTGATGAATTTCACATCCAATCGGTCAGTTTCCAGATTGTCAACGGTGTACTCATTTATAACATTCGAAGTATCCAAGTGATCGATGAATTTTTTGAAATCGACACCGTTTACGAGTCTAGGAATGATCTCCTCGGCTACCAACGTTTCCGTCGTCGAGTTCTCCAAAGGAATATTCTGGAACGTTTCGTTCAATTTTCGAGCAAACTCCTCTTGCGAGACGTTAGCGTTTAAGCTGTCAAAAGACAATCCATCCAAGGTGATTGGAGACTTGAACACTATAATCTTTTCCAAACAGTTGGTGGACGAGTTTGAGTTCTCTCTGAAAAATGCCTCCAGCTTCCTCGTGGCTCCAAACGTCACGTTTCCAAAAGTGACGTCTGGTAATATTTTGATTAAATCTGAAAATTCATCGTTAGGTATAGATTCAACTCTGCTTGTTCTTGCGTTTAAAAAATCGCATCGTTACTTGGTAGTTCCTGATCCGTGTCCAAAGTGACGAATTCGTTCATAAAATGTCCGTTGATGATACCAGACGTAATGGTAACGTTGGATGTCATACCAACATCCCTCAGAAACGTTTTGGTTCCCGTGATCATGACATTCCCTTCCGTTTTTAATAACAAATCCTCGAAATTCAAAGGTCGTTTGTTCACGAACAACTTATCAAACATGACATCTCCCAAAACTGTTATATCCGTGAAAATGATGTCTGCCTCAACATCGAAGGTTTCGTTCAACAGTTTTATCTTTTTCTTGGCTAACCCCTCGATTTCACCATCGATCTGCAATTTTCCATAATTCCAAGCGTGTCTACCGAGATTCTGTTAAAAATTTCAAATACTTACGCGGCAGGAACCTTCGACTGTCAACTTTTCAAAAGTGATTTCCTCGGTCAGAACGTTCTCCTTGTTTAAAATGATGAAATCCTCGAAGTCAATGCCGTTTAGGGTTTTCACGATTTCCAAACGTCCGACGACTAAGGTATCAAACGATTTCGAGCCTGTTACGTTCACGTAAGCCATATAGTTGTGCAAGATGTAGTCAAACGGATACCGAAGATCGTTTAGGAAATCTAAGTATGTATCATCGGCGATCAGCGCCTGAAATTATTGCACGAATCAATTTTTTACAGAAAGAACGATACGTCTGTCTGTGCCAGAGGGCCATATAATATATAATAATGGTATTACCCCTTCGATGACGGTGTCACCAGGAATCACTGCGGGTTTGTCTTTCCACACGATGCTCCTCATTAACGTTTCCCAGTTAACGTTATTAATCGACTCGAAGAAAAGGTGTTCCTTGACTTCCATTCGATTTATCCTCGAGAAATTCACCTCGCTATAATCTTTTCTCAAATTGCCAAAGCGAATGTTCTTCACCGGGACACCATTCAGTGCGTAAATGGTCAGATTTTGAGCTTCAATGAACGAGAACGTCATCTTGTCTTCGATCACGTTACCTTTACCAGATGGAAAATCATTCAGAACATCGACGTCGTTAATTATTTGCACAGATAGATCCTCGACGTTCAAGTTGCCAGTGACGTCGATATTTCCAAATACTTCAACATCGGAGTCGAAGTGCAACTGCGTTGAGTTGGAGTCCAAGGCATCCATTAAATTCTCATCGATTTCATCGAGCTTCCTTTCCAAATCTTGCAATATTTTCGCGTAACTGTCCACGTCGAAGCTCAATTCTTCTGCGGTCAGGTTGGTGGATCCAAGGGTCACCGAACTGTAGATCACATCGTCGGTTATGGTCGCGTTCGTCACGTTCGCTTCGCGGATTTTCCAAAATCCTGTGACTATGGGATTCTTCAAGTAACTCTGATCGAGGCGCTCCTCTGTCTCGTCGAAAATCCTCTCTTGACGGTTCAGCGTGTCCTACAAATTTGTTCAAAAGTTAATAGTCCTGCTTATCGAGCTACTTTTCATTCAGATCGAGTGTTTATGGTTTAACACGTTTTAAAGGGCGAAGAACTCACGTTCAGCAAGGTCTGGAGGGTCAACAGCCTCTCCGTGGTATGCTGAATCGGATGTTTCAGATTCTGCAGATCGATATGGAACTTCACGAACCGATTACCCTGAACGAATCCAAATTTGGGAATGACAGTAACCGTGGACAGGTCGAATTTGTCGAGGATATTGCTGGGCAACTGTATTCTTTTAAAGCTTGTTCCTTGCCAGCCGGAAGCGATCACAGAATAGTTTCGCAGCTGGATCAGTAATAACGATTCGTCCCTGTACGTGTTCAATCTGATGTTTTTCACCCAAGAAATATCTGAAACATCTGCAAAGAATAGATAGTACATCAAATTCGAGCTTTCGTCGAGTTAAAGACAAAATTCGAACATCCTGAAAGCGAATGTTTACCAAAGCTCGAGTCAGACTCCGTGTTATACTGAAATTCACCCTCGATGAGGTGAAACAGGCCAGCTTCCGGTCCTGATATCGCTAGAAATTGAAGATTACCACTCTCGAAGCAAACAAAGTTCTTCAGATCGAGCGATTTAATCACTTGGAGGATATTACCCACTACAGGGTCTCTGTACTCGTACAAGAAGACATCGTTGACACCCTGAAGAGCGAAGAGGAGGCCTTCGTACGCTGGGCACACTCGAATATCGAACACTCTTGGCACGGGTATCCTCTGACAGAGCCTAAATTAAAACTAAAATCAATCGACGCGTAAATTTGATAAAGGATCAAACTTTCAAACGAAATTCTTAATTACCACAGGTGGAAGACACTGGTGGAAAAGTCGATGCTGAAACCGTACACGTCGATATGCGAATATTGCTTCCCAAAACGCATTTCGTTCTCGTCCAGTATTAGCAGTTTGTTTAAATTTCCCTGTTGGACGAACTCCATGTCCTTCACGTGCTTCTGCACGGGCCATGACCAGAAAATATTGGAGAACTTTCCATCGACAAGTCTGTACCATTGTAGCGACGTCCCAGTGTCCGACGTCACGCACAAAACGACCACCACGTCAATTTCCGAGTTGGCTATTAATGAAAAACTGCTCAGACCGATCACTTTGAACGCTAGTATGACACCTCCGATGTTCAAAATTGCCGGTTCGTCGGTCAAAGCGCCGTTTGAGTCGAGTTGGTGGAGCCAGAGGATCGATCTTTCGGTACGGGCCAAGTAACCGGTGTCGTTTACCTCCAAGAATTGCCAATTCGTCCCCGTTTCTGGAAGATTCGTGTATTCGTGGACGGAAATGTCGGTCACGACTAACTCTGAAATCGAAAATCAAAAAAGAATCTTTATCGAGTACGACAACGCCCTTCACGATATTCAGATGTATCTGGAATTTTACTTAGACTATATTGGACGTTGATAATCACCTTCTCTATTCCCAGCTCCAGTGTTGAATTCATAGTCCATCCAAATTGGCGAAACATCCTTCGAATTACGTGGGCTCCTCAACGATTTGCCACCCACGAGTTGGTCTAATTTCTTTTCAGCTTCATCGAGATCCCAGCACTTTGTAACGCTCGCGAAAATGAGGAAGAACAAGAAAATTGAGGAACTACCAACCGACGAAGACATCTCAGCATCGCGACGAAACTGTGCCTGTGATACTCGAGCGTCGCATGCAAAATATTTTGATACTGACATTGAATAGTAAGATTCCGAATAACGGTTCTCAAACTGATCGTAATCATTTATGTTTCCACCGGTTTAGAGACATCGATCGAACCTGGAACACTGTATTTCTCAAGTATATTCCGAAAAATTGAAAAATGCTCTAATGAAAATGTTTCCATAAGTTCATACGCAATCCGCGGACTTTCTTTCCCGGATGATACATCAATCGATCGACTTTTCCGCTTCATACGTACGTGCTAATTATATACTTTCACACGTATGTAGGTCAGACAATGTTAATTCGCCGTTTCCTTTACAGAAAACGTTTTATTCGTTCAACATATTATACAAAACAATTACAAACAACAAGTATAAATAACTGTATAGTATAAATTATTGCAGGCACCACGCGACGCAGTAATTAGCTCCGACGACGTTTCGTCGATGAATCGTCGACCTAAGTGCTTTTTAAACGCGTTCGAGCTGTCCAGGAAACATACCTGGATCGTGTATATCTTCTGCAACCTGTCACGCAAGCCTTAGTAATATAAAAGGTGAACCTTTTCAGTGGACGGTAAAGGTTAGAGTTAACTCAAATTTCAATTTTTCCACTTAAATAATCCCCTCCTAATTATAATATTAAAACAAAGTCCATCGATACCTTGATTCCCATTAATCGAACGCAGAGTTCAAATATCTCTTACGACGACCGATTAAAATAAATTACAGCATCGTGGTTGGCTATAAATAAAAATAATTATAATTCCAACGAGTCGTCATTATTGTCGTAAGAAATCGTTGCCTCCATTTCCAGCTCCCAGACTCCGCGAATACTGTGACACCTAACACAACTCTATCGCTCTACAGCTCCTTAACTTCTAAGGTACGGTCACTGATAGGAATCTACTTCTGTCCCCAACTTTCGGCTGGAACCTCAAGTTGATCTTCTCCTTGTCTTCCTCGCCGACCTCGAGGAAACTGTTCCAGTCCACCAAGAAGTACAGACCGCTCTTCCTTCTCGGAGGCAACTCAGGGTCGGGTTCGCGGGTCGTTCCACCGAAAGATTCCTCCAACGCTGCCAAATTCGAGGTACTCGAGGAAACTTCAGGAGCAGACGTCGTCAAGGCCGATTTCGACTGATCGGAGCCAGCCTTCCCAGAATCTGTCGCTTCTGTGGATTCTGTTGGCAAGTTTCATCACGAACCCCATTTTGAATCTCATTCTAACCCTTCGAGAATTCGTAAACATTGACAGGACGATTACGGAATTATTTCAAGAGACGAACACGCTCACCCTCCATTTACAAGAAAAAAAGAAAGGATTAGTTAGGGAAGAGATCGAACTTGAAACGAGACACGTCTGTACAAAAGGTGAACGAACGCATGCATTCGAATATCAAATGACAATTCCAGTGAGGTAACGTTGGGAATAGACATGAATATTATACAATGAAACAGGAGTACACCGACGAGTAACAGTTTCGCTAATGTAAACATGACGCGTTAATGACTTTCACTCGGGTGTTAGTTACAGGTAGAAACTCTGAGGAGAACCTTGAATGGTGGCGTTATTCTCACGGTTAGCGATGGATACGAACAAGGGAGTAGAGAAAGTGAGAGACCACGGTGTCGACGTCGATCTAAGCTTTTCGTTAATGCTTTCCCAGCGATAATCCTCGGTATGGAAAAACTGACAGTTTCCTTTCGCGTGAAAGTGAAATTCAACATGGAAGAGAAACCGAGAGCAAAACATGGAAGAAGAGGCCAAGTTAATAGCAGAGAGAGCATCTTTCAATTGAATCATGGACACACACAGTCGCGGGAAATGAAAAATGCAAGGACTCGTGGTTAAACTCTTTGACGTCACGTATTAGTAAAAAATAATTCAACCAGGTCCTCGTCTGATCCTGTTATACGTGTTGGTTAGCATGCTTCGAAGTCTCGTTAGTCCTCGAATGATCCTTCGCACCCAGAATTCCGAGCCGCCCAAAACGTATATCAAAAATTTCTTAATACCAGTCGCGGCCATCGAGGTCAACGTTGTGTTCCCTTCGGCAGCGGCAGTGGTCGTCTCCGTGATCGTTTCAGTGGTCGTCTCAATGGTCGTCTCAGTGGTCGTCTCCGGCTCCTGTTGCCTCTTTATCTCGTTCCTGACGTCGTCGTTGTACGTTCTAAGGATCTCCTCCAGCTTTAGAGGATCTGGCCCGTCCTTCAGGACTTTTGCCGACTCCAGCAACTCCTTGGCGGCCTTCCTGACCTTCTGAATGTCGGCCTTGCCCTCCTGAACCTGCCTCACCGTGTCTAGGAGCTCGTTGATCTTGCTCCTCTGTTCCTTGTCATCCACGTCTACTTCGTGAGGCTTGAACACGTGGAACTTGGACGTCTCCGTGGATTCCATGTCTTCGAGAGTCTTCGGCGTAGTCCTCACTGCTTTACGAGTGGTAGAGATGAGACCCATGTTCTCCAGAACGCCTCTCATGTTCCCTGGCACGGCTTCGATCAACGACGGAGCCTCCGTCGTCGGATTCATCGACTTCTGCTTCCTGGTGTCGCTGATCCCTAATCCAAACTTAGCCAAGAACTCCTTCATGTCCTTGTCCTTCACGCTGGACGTGGGCAGAGGCTTGAAGTTCGTGTAGGAGTTCAGGTTGATGGTCGTTCTCTGCGTGGTCGTCGTGGAACGATCCAGATTCGACGTCTGGAGACCGAACCTCTGAAACAACAGCTGCACCTCAGGCGTGAGGTTGTCCACGCCTTTCTTGATCTCAGATTCGGGACTCTCGAAGGTGTTCTGCTTGGTGATGGACGCTGAATCAGTTCCGACAGAGGTCAACCCTGAAACCGTGGCGCGAAGCACGCTGTTCGTGTCTGGAATCTGAAACTTGCTCTCATGGATGGCCTTGTTCTTCTTGTACACGTCCTCCACGTTGCTGCTGTTGTCTGGCTTGAGACCTATCGACGCCAACAGGTCCATGACCTCTGGTCTCATAGGCATCGAGGTCGTGGTCGTTGCTGCGCGGAATCCTCCAGAGTTTATCGTGTAAGTTGAACTGTACTTTACCTTTGGGGATGTCTCCGTCGACATGGGCGTTACGTACAAGGCAGGTCGTTGCGTGCTCATGATCAAGGCTTCCGCGATCTTCGAGTCTTTATCTGGCATCCCTGACTTCTCAGACGAGGACACGGTCAGACGATCGTCGGGTTCCGCGTTAACGGTTGGTAGAAACGGCACCTTGTCGAACTTGGAAGGCATAGTCGGTGTCAGAGCGACGCTGGGAGGTGCGTTGTAACGCCACTGATTGGACGAAAGCACGTTTTGGCTGGTCTTGTGCTTCTCCAAGTCGATGGCGATCTCCTTGGAAACCGCCTTCGTGGTAGGCTGGTCGGTAACGCTGGTGCTGTAGACGATCTCCAATTCCAACTTCTCGTTCCCGTTATTCTTGTAAACAGGATGCCTGGTCGTCGTCGTTTCCTCGGTCGTCTGCGCGTTCTTCTGGAGGTTCTCCAGGTTGAATGTGAACCTGACTGGCGAAGAGTCCAGTTTCAGCGTCTCCTTTAAAGGCACCTTCGTGCGCACCTCCGAGTAAGTCTCCCGGTGGTTCTTGTACTTGCTCTTCGTGGTGGTGGAGTGAGGATCCCTTGGAGTTGTCTTGTAGGACACCAAGTTCTCGTCGGTCGATGGTATAGAAGCGTCATCGTTGTTTATATTAGCCTCGACTTTATCGTTCCCTGATTTTAGGAAATCGGTGATCATCTGAGTCATCGGAGGCTTCGTGTATAGATCGTTCAAGCTCCCTGGCGATTCGTCGGCGTTGTAGGGAAGGACGACCATGAGTGCCCTCTGGTACAACTTCCTGGCCTTCTCTAGCTTCTCCTTGTCCATGAAGGACTTCAAATCCTGCGCGGTGATGTTCTGGAGGATCCTGACTATCTCGTGCCTCGTCAGACGGGGCAGGCTGGGGTCCACGCGAAGCTGTCGCTCGACTTCCTCGATCGTACGGTTGATCGAGCTCTCGATCTCGAACTTCGACGGAAGATCATTGTCCCGGCAGTGACCTAGGCCGAGGACCAACAGCAGGCAGAAAACCGCAAGCTGTACAGACAATCGTTGCGTCAATTAAGTTTCTACCGTTAAGGCTGCGGTAAAGGATGAGTTTTAGATGTCTTCGACGACTGAGGAACTCGATAATCACGAGTAGCACTTTGATAAATATAGAAATAAATATAGAAATTTTACTGACCGCTTGAATCTGAGATAACCTATTGGAAAGCGCTATAAATTTTGAAATAACACGCGCACGCTGACACATAACGGATGTCAAACGCTTTACCGCCTAAGATCGTCTTCTAATTGACTGTACACATCTGTCCTAGATTCGCTCAAGTTTGCGTCATTCGTTCTTCACCTATCGCCTTTCAGTAAAAAATGAAATCGTTTCTGAAACATCTTTCGCAATTTTTTTTTTTTTCGTAAGAATACACACAATTCTTTCAATGTAGAGAAAAAACGTCTCGGATGAACGATCATTGAAAGGATGAATCGATTTAGGACAGAACATCGACACGGCCTTTGCGTAAGACGCGCAGCTTTATGCAGGCAGGCGTTTATATCCCTTCGAGCATTTATAAATGCTCCCAATCGACTCCTGGTCTCTTTCATATTCATGAAGCGGTATCTCGAAATATCCTTGACCGATCAAGAAAGCCCAGATTCTTCGTTATTATGTATTTATTTCATGTCCCTTTTACTCTCGAGCAACGTGGACGGGACGTGCCTGTGTGGTATTTGCATTTAATTGGCAGAATTTTTAGGAAAGTTATGTCACTGGTCAAGATTTCGTATCATGTGAATTGATGGCACTAGTGGCCTCTAAAAATCCATTGGAACGTTTACTAGAAAGTAACAGGTCTGATTTAAATCTACCGTAACAAAATTTATACTCGTCTCAGCGTTTAAAATTTATTGTGCACTCTCAGTCGAGCAAACCTCGTAATTATTGATAGTATCACTATCCTGAAAACGCATTTTATGAGCGAAAGGACAGATTTCTCTCGCGAACATCGCTCAGGGCCGTTCTTTATTACTTCTTCCAATGATCAAATCTGAATTGAAAGTTTCGGCTTTAATCGCAGTGTGGTTGCACATTCTCATCGAAGAATTTTTATATAGAAACATGGATTCAATCGTACGATGCGATAACTGAGAGATTTCCTGTCGTTTCACCGACGTGAAATAATTATTGAAGGAAATTACTGCAATCGAGGCTGCATTTTGTAACACATGTTCTACGACGTATTTTATCTATTCGAGCCCCTCCCACTTCGATTGAAAGTTGTATTTAACGTAATTATAGTCTTGGGAAGGTATATTAGAACACTTTCGACTGTGATTGCAGTTCGATTCCTTGACGTTTGTAATAATAGTGAAATAAAAATAAAATAACATCGTTCGTTACATGCGAGGAAATGTGTATTTCCTTCACTGTATTTTATAATAATAAATCATTGTAAATAATTCCTTTTTATAATTGCCATCGCTGATTAAGACAACGCTCTTTCAATTTACGTTAATAGACCAATTAATACTGATACTCCTACCAATGCAACATTGCATTCTTCCTCTTTCTATTTTCTCTTCGCTTTCAGGCTGATTCGAAGGGACTTTCTACTCAATTCGACTCAAATTTATGCTCCTGTTTAGCGAAATAGCCACTATTTTCCGGCTGGCTTGTAACGAGAACCATGAAAAGCCACGACAGTGGTTCCTCGATGCTTTGTCTTCGTCGATAAAGTTTTATTAGGAGAAAACAGGAATAAAGCTTTCGTCCGCTAGTCGTGATTTCGTAGCGTTCTGCGTAAGGAGGAAACTATTGCACGTAATCGTCATAGTAAACGACGTCCACGAAATTGGTCACGGTAAACGATCCACGATAACGATCCTCGAAAACGAAAGTCACTTTCGTCTTTGACGTGACCTTTTTCATGGTCGCTGTAAGACCCGGCGAATCTGCAATCTTAATTGAAATTCTAATTGCGTCAATCGACGAATTTTGATAGAAATGAAAATTAGCATTAGCGTTACAAGCAAGCTACGTTCTCCTTCTTCCATAATCAAAGAATTGAAAAATGACCGTAAGTTCGAAGCAAACCCCTATAAATTTGTGTCTCAAAGCACATTCAACAACTTATCTCGATCCCTCTTAGTCTTCGTTTCGAACTTGCTTGGGAGCATCTACCAGCTCACAGAACCAAATCCTCGGAAAGGGCTAGATCGGCCCACCTAGATCACCAACGACTTTTCTTTCCATCCAGCACACGTAACAATGAAGACAAGCGCGTTTCGTGGCAGGTTATTCACCAGCGACAAGAAGCAACTTTCTCATTTCCTCGCGAAACGAATTCACTAGGTAATTCCTGTCACACATGTCCACGCGCGAAAATTGACTGGCGAGTTTAATCGATCCCTTTGGAAATCGGTTCAGCGATCACGGCTTCGGTTTTCGAGACCAACGAAGAAATGAAACCCATAACTTTGACATCGGTGGAGTCACTTGGAGAACTTACCATTACGACAACCGATCGTCTGCGAACACAGTTGACTACTGACTGAACGACGGGGGCCTACTTTCGAACTCTCTCTCTATCTCACCCGCTTGTTTCGCCGCGACTGTCCTCGTGCACGTTGCTCGGTTCATCTGCTCGGTCCTGCGGGTGCAGGTGAACGCGTCACGTGTCCTTTCTCCCTCTGCTCGTCGACGTCGTCGACCAGCATCCGAGGATGATGCGAGCACGCTTTCATCCCGCCGCCAATACGAAATGGAAAGGTGATTTTTCAAGTTCAAGGAGAAAGAAAGTCGCATGTGACCGTGGAAACCGGTCCTCCGCGAGACATCACCATCGTTTCCAACCGATTATCGCGCTTATTTTCCTTCGTTCGGGAAATGCCAACGATTATAACGTTCTTTCGGCAATATAAATAAATTGCAAGGATTTATTTGTGATGATTCATGCGAGAACTCGAAGAAATTGAGAATTTCGATCAATTTTCAGAATTAGAAAGCAACTGGTATGATGCAAGAGACTGTAATTGTTATCTATCTTATCTGCACAAAACGAGGAACATTTTAATCGTTTTTATTGTAATCAGTCTCTACCGGATGATAGAGATATAGTGTTGAACAGAAAAATAGTTTCAATCGATTCTTAATGAAAATGACAACTAAAATGAAGCTTAAAACCAAATTTTAAATTAATTACAAATAAACGCGCGTTAAAACAAAAACGCGCGTAACGCCATCTCGCGGTGAGAAAGCCGAACTAAAATCCCGACCTCCGTACAGCGCTCCAGCGGGAAAATGCCCAAGTTTGTCCTCGATTAGTTCCTTTTTCAACCGCTAGATGGCGGCATTTGGTACAGGACAAAAATTTATTTATAGCAGGGGTCTGAAAACGGTTTCCTATTCGTATTTTAACGTTATAAACCTTCAGAAAGCTTTTAATTAAAAATAAATTGAATAAAAATAAATTGTCGATAACTTTCGTAGTGGTGCCATCGGGTGGGAACACGCTCAAGTTTGTCGAGAAATAATTCCCCTTTTTCGAACACTAGATGGTGCCATTTAACAATATAAATACCGACAATGAATTTTGTATATATTAGAGGTCTAAATACATTTTCCTAGGTGTATCATAACGTTCCAAAGCTTATAATGTGCTTACAAGTGCATTTATTGCACGTAGTCATATAAATAAAATAATAAAAAGAATTGTCGGTAATCTCTCCTTTAGTAGCCCCATCTAGCAGTTCGAAAATGGTACTATTTCTCAACAGACTTGAGCGTTTAAAGGCGTTCAGAGGATTCATAACGTTAAAATACGAATAGAAAACCGTTTTCAGACCCCTGCTATAAATAAATTTTTGTCCTGTACCAAATGCCGCCATCTAGCGGTTGAAAAAGGAACTAATCGAGGACAAACTTGGGCGTTTTCCCGCTGGAGCGCTGTACGGAGGTCGGGATTTTAGTTCGACTTTCTCACCGCGAGATGGCGATACTTCTTCTTGCCCCATAAACGCGCGTTTATTTGAAAATGAATTAAAATTCGGTTCTAAATATATAACCAATGTAAATAATTGTTAATAACTTGTTTGTATAGTTTCAAACATTATTCCCTTTTAATCCTGGCACGAAATTTCACTAAACAACAACCCATTCGAAAGATTAACGTGTGAATGAACACGCTAACAATGTTCGTCGTGATAATCCAAAATCTAAAGTAACAAGATCACGTATAAATACAGGAATAAATAATTTACACACTTTTCACTGCTCCCTGGAATCCTTCAACCACGTATCAATGTCTACCAAAGAATTCCATCGAACTGCATTGTGCTTGTATCGAATGGCTGTTCTCGTTTCAGCAAAAACTTTCACCTATGCAAACAACGACACACGCAATCCAAACGAGAACTCCTGATATCAGCATTCTTCTGTATAAAGCGTGCCGCGCGTGGACGTTACTTTTTACGTGGTAGCTTAGATTTTTATCGGATTCGTCGAAGGGAGAAAAACTTCAAATATCATTCCCGCGTGGTGTCAGGAGAAGGGGGGGCACAGATGTAGCAGTGATACCAGGGCTAATCACGGCAATATTGATTTTTCTGTCGATCCGTTACAACACCGTAATCCAGCGCAGTGGTAAAAGTGGGGACTCACTCTCACTGTTCGCCAAGCAGAGGACCTCGGCTCTCTCGTCGTTTTTAAAACGCTCGAGACCGCGAGTTCGCGTCCCCAGCTCGCGTAACCCAGCTGAACAGAAATCGATAGGTGAAAGAAAGGACGTTTCGACTTCCTCAGGGCTCCATCGCGTCCAAGATGACGAGCCAGATCGAGACTTTGGAGAATTCCTTCAGGAACCTCACCTGCGACCACCATTATATCCCCTCTGCGATCGAGAGCATAGAAAGTGAGTCTCGTTTCATTTTTAACAAGAGTTTATAAATGAAGTTTCTTCATTCTCGATGCTGAAAGTATCCAACGAGTCGATTCGACCCTTGCGTGTTTGGACTCCTTTTAGGAGTAGCGTGTTATTGAATTTTTATACAATTATTAGTGGTGGTTTTTTAAAACTGGATTAAGACTATGTTGATCAAGTGATTCGTCCCTTCTCCAATCAATTTTAAAGATGTAGTCGTATATGTAATTGCCGTTGCCTTTTTGATTTCTCGGTGAGGTTTGTTTTACATTGAACGAATCATGTTTAGAGCTAGAGAACGTTGTAGCAAATAGAAAGTGAATGGTCAAACATTCTGGGACACCAGTGTGTCCATACAGTTCTATTAACGTCTTTAAGAAATTGTTAAGTTGTGGATATCTATACAGACAACAGCTATAATTCGTTGCCTTTCGATACCATACTTCAAATATGAAACATTTCAAGTAATAAAGGACCCCTCGTAACGATCTTCAGGCCCCGATAAGCCTGAATTCGCCACTGCTACGATTTACGGAGCATGCGCAGTCGCGATCGCATAGGTGAAAGTCTTGCTCCGAGCTCGTTATGCTTACATTCTGTGTATTTCATGTAAAACGCGCTAAACTTCCTTGGAAACACTTGCGTAACTCGAAAGTAATAATCACGCTCTTCCCAGACTTTTCGCTGACGTAGAAGGAGACTTCTGAAAATTAGGCAGCACTCGAAACTAAACATTTTAAAACGTATGAAATTTCAATGATAACAATAAAACTCATAGATCGATCAATCGACTTATTTGTCGCAAATGTTTAAGTAATATTTTCGTGATAGTCACGGAGGCAACGATCGATGCTGGTTTCGAATTTGCATTAAGGATAAGCTTGAACGGCGGTAGCGCGGGCTTTCACCCGAGATGAGAGTAAAAAGTACCGCTAACATAGAATAAATGAATATAATCGGGTGGCGTCGACTGATTTAAATCGTCGAATTATACGCTTGTTCCTTTTTCATAACGCGTTTAGCCGAAACTTTATAACAGTACAAGCGGAGCCGCTTCTCGCCGCGCATAAATTTGCCAGCGTTGAAGGGAATCAATTCACGGGAATGAATATTTCACAAGGGTGAATTTTGTCCTCGAAGAAAGTTGGACGAGGTAATCTTCTCTGCAACAAGAACTGGGCGTCGGAATAACGCGCGAAGGCAAATGCATCGAAGATGCGAATGCATAAAGTAATTAACGTCTTTCTCGCAGTCGCAGCAATTATGCTGTATTAATTTTTTCTCCGCTTCCGCGAGTGTCGATTTGAAAACATTCGTTTAAAATAAAATGTACTCTACATTGGTGAGTGGCGCGGGTTCTCTTTTACGTAACGAATAAATTCTTTAGGCATTTAAATTTTTAAAAATAGGAAACCCAAAGGTAGCCTGTTTAATTTAAAACTATATCGAGTTGAACTAGACGACAAAGGTATTTAAAACGGTATTCAAGTTTGGAATCTCAGTGTGAATGAACGTAGCTGGCGTTTTGGAGGCTAGCCTTAGGCTATTACGTACAGTTATAGCGGCGAGAACTGCCTGATTTTGTTAGGAATAATTAAATTTCAAACTACTCTTGATCCTCGCAAGTTTGGGAATTAAATGCCGCAATTTCGTTATCGCTTAAAAATAGCATTCGACGCATTTATGCATTCTGGAAATATCATTCGTGGAAGATAAAGAGTCGTACGGTTTGTTGCACCGCGTTTCTCTAACCTGGGGTTTCATAACGTGACGCAAGAACCCCGTCAAAGTAGCGGTTTCACAATGTAAATAAACAACCTGATATTGAAAAACGAACAAACTGTGGCGATTATCCGTAAAGTAGGTCGCAATTTCAATTCTTCTTCGTGTGTTCCTAAAAAAAAAAAGAAATTCTACGTACAGGGATATATTATCGAGTCTTCAGGACGTTCAACTTTATACTCGCAACTATTATCACTATCCAAACAAGCAAACAGTCGCGGTTAAATACATCTAAGACAACTTCCGCAGAAATGATTTCCTTCTTATCTCTGTGTAACTTCAATTAGTAAACACTTACGAGAAGATATTATCTCTGCGCATTGTATCACAATTATAAGAACATGTACATTGTGTTCTTCTTCGAGAAATATTACAAAATATTGGAGTTACGTGCACTGTTTTTATAGAGGAATTAATTTTAGATCAATTATTAGCATTCCTGACTTCAAAAAGATGTAGATTTTCAGAGCTTACGTAACGCAGGATTTAACAGTCGCTTTCTCAAATATTGTGCACAATTTTGTCTATCGCGTGAGTTTAATGATAGCGAACTGTTCAGGTAAAATGTTATCCAGTACTTTGAATAAAAACTGATTTCAACACACCGCTAAATAATCTCAATCTTTCCCTCTCCAAATACTTCTTAATTTGTATACAGCAGATGCTTTAACGTCGTGTAATCGTATAATTATGATTTAATTATTTCTATTTTAGAATTAGGCGCTTTTAGCGTGGGTTTATTGAGTTCAGGAGCGATCATCTCGACTCTGACTTTATACTTCGCCATGGACGCTTGCCACAATATCTTGTACCAAAAAGAATCAAAGTTTTACAAGATCAACGTCATAATGATCTTCGCGGTCTATCCAGTCGCCAGCGTTTGCAGCCTCACAGCCATAGGGATACCAAGGTAACTAATCGTGCCACGTCGATCATAAAACAAACCGAATACGAGAATCACGAAATTCTGCTCGCCGTGCGATTAAGCATAGATTAGTTTCCCACGATGTAGATCACTGGTTGAAACGTTCTCTAAGTTTTTCGAACGATCACGGTAAATAAAATCTCAAGGTTCTTCTAGAAGATATTACGCAACGCTACGTGATTAAGCTTGAAGGTAAGTGTTGCAGAGCAGACAAAAAGCGATAAGAGATCGACCCATCCACTCCTCGTTGAGACGGTAACGAGATTCGAACTGGAATCGGTGGTAAAACGTACCAGAAAATCCACTTAGGAGACCGTGGAAATGGCGGAAACGCGATCGAGTGTCAGCTAGAGACAAAAGACCAGTCCCTTTGCGACAGTTTTTAACGACTCTGAAAACACGCGAAGAAACTTGACCCAGCGCGACTAATGATTTTGATTTCTCTTAATAATCACGAGTTTTGGGTCGTGTCACACCTGTGCCCGATGTTCCAAATTTTTGATCGGACCCTCTGATAAGTGGGATGACGGTGAGACAGTAGACACGAAAATCCCATCGTGGGTCCATTGGCGTTTCTAATGGGTTTCAAACGCTCCGTTGTCAAAATCTCAAATTTAATTGGATTCTCAAAGCAACTTATACATAAATGAAAATAATAGTAAAAGACTAGTAAACGATGTATCTATGTATCTATGTATTCTTCTCCATTTTCTGATCTTTGATTATGTTTTGATCACGTGTACGATCTCTGTCAATGTTCAAAGAGATCACCGCCAAATTGCCGATTCTTTTAATGATTTCCAGGGCCCAGTTGCTGTCCGAGGCGATCATCCAAATCTACCTAACGATATCCCTCTATCGACTTTATCTGCTGCTCATCCACATCGGCTTCAAAAGGGTCACGAAACCGCCGCCATTAATGCTGAAAGTCAGCCCCTGTTGCTGCTGGCCCTGTCTGTCCTTTCCAAATCTTAAAATGACCGACGCCAGTTTGTCCTCGCTTAGGCTGGCAGTCCTGCAACTTCCCATTATCCAGGTTATTTCTTCTTTTCCACTTTCGCTTCTCGGAACCCTGCTACTCTCGGAACGGAATTACTTTCCTCGGTAGAAACTATTTTTCGCTGTAAACTCAAGGAAAGACCATCCCGCGAGAAAACGTCCTTTGTTTACGCAGTATCGATGATGTTCTGTTCTGTTTACCCAATATTAAATTCAATCTGGAACCACCGGCTTTGAACTTTCCAGTAACGAGTTCAAAGGTTAACGTTGATAGTTTCGATCGATTTCAGAGCTTGGTATGCTGCACGTTTCTGTTTATATCCATCTGGGATCCCAGCGTCCTGAGGCAGTGGGGTTTGTACCTTCAAGTCGCTTCAGTGGTTAGTATACTTCTCGGAATATACGGACTGACCATTACGGTGAAGAGTCTGCAGGAAGTCGCTCCAGGTAAAAATCGTGTATGCTTAATTAAGAGGAAGGATTTGCCCGTATAATCTGTTCCTGCTATCTGCCCTCCGCCGTACCGAAATTATTCGAAACACGCGACCGCAAAGCAATTTTCTGCGTTACGAGGGTTTCCCTTCACTGTAGCCTCTAGTCTTCGCTGGCCATCCCGTCTAGCGCGTTTGAAACTCGTGTACCATGTATACATTTTTTTAAAAAAGTCGTGCAATTAAAGGATTCCATCTAAAGCGTCGATTTTCTGATATTCTTTTGGATTTTTTTTTTTTTTTTTTTTTTTTAATCCATAAAGAATTCTTTTCTGTAATTCGGTAGGTAGAGAAAATGTTTGAAAAAAAAATAGATTGTTTGAAAGTAGTGGGATAGAATAGCCTCGTAAATTGAGAAACACCGAGAAGGAAACGGATGCGAGTCCCATCGCCTAAACGCTGCCGATTACCCCACGTGGGACCACACAAGTAACCCGCAACAGGAAGCAATTCCCAAGGTCTTGGAAAACCCCCATTGTCTCTCGCCCCCGTGGCGTTAGTTTATATTTATACTAATATTACAAAGAGATAAAGTTTGTTCGTTTGTATGTAATCCACGCGGGTGAAACCGCGGGGCGCAGCTAGTAATTAATAGATTTGGAAATGAATTATCAGTCCATGGAATAGAACAATACGCTTCTGACTCGCGGTCATTTTTGTAGAGGACAAACTCCATCTCAAGACCACGGTAACTCAGATGGTGTTGCTATTCTCGAAGCTGCAGGCGTTCCTTGTGAAGAGTCTGCCGCAGACGGGCCTGTTTCCGTGCAATCCACCAATTACGCCGCAAGTCTACGCGAACAGTAAGCCCTCCTCCTTTTTCACGGCTCGAGAAAGCATAATAACAGAAGAACGTCCTGGAACCTTCGTAATAAACGATAACCATGCGTATGTAAACGTTAACTCAGATTTGGACAGAATTGCAAAGTAATTACATTGTGATTTATAATTCAAAGGGTTCCTTTCAAACCGTGACCTTGATATCTCGAAAAGCACGTCCTTGTAAAAAAGGTTATCTGCCACGATCTGCCTCTTCTGGTTTGCTATTCGAGTCGAGGTCCAGGGCGTTTCCATAACCATTAAGATAAAAAGAACAAGCACCGTCAACTTTCCCTCGTCCGATTTCAGTTACCTACGATGCCCTGATGATAATCGAGATGCTGCTGCTCTGCTACGCGGCGAGGTACGTTTATTACGTGGACCTGAAAAGGGAGGAGAACACGTCGGTCGAGGCGACAGATCGCCCCAAAGACAAGACCACGGAACAACAAGCGAACTCGACGAATAACAACGAGGAGACCAGCAGGCAACCGTCGTCCCTGACCGCGCTGGATTTCGCCTCAAAGTTCGGCGTCGTTCCGAATATCCAATTAACCGCTGTCACCGAGAATTAACCCGGTCATACGCGTTGGACCATGAGAGACTATGTCGTGCGTGCGTCGAGAGATCCTCAAATTTCGATCCGAGTGGAACCTGTCGCAAGGGAATCTCGAGTACCGAAAACAATTAGTTGACAAACTGTTTTGCTCTCGCAAGCGGCTGACCATTTGGCAATATCGATGGCTTTAATCGGTGTAAGCTTCCTGGTGCTGTAATGTAGTAATTACCTGTCGAGTAATCGTAGACCTCTGATTTTAAATTTAAACAAATCAAGTACGAACTACAGCTCAGTGTTACGTAAAAGCCCGCGTTAAATAAATGGTGATAGCCAACGTATTAATGGCGTCACGTGTGAGGCAAGACTCATGGACGAAATATCGTTATCGATAAACTAGAAAATTAGTGTTCGAGTATGTTGGAATGAATGTTACATGTACAGAGTCCTCGACGGCTTGTTAACTTAAATTGCTTAGAAAAGTACTGATTAGAGAATAACGGAAGACTTCGTTACCTAAATATGAACTACTAAATATATGTTTTGCTGGCGAAACTTACAACGGAATTGTTACTGCAAAGTAAACGATATCCACGTGCTATTTGTTAAACACTTGCCAGACAGTAAGAACAGATTACATTCGCTGTTTTGTTCAAAGTGTCTAGATTCTAAGTTGAAATAATCTAATTTTATACGATTCGATGAATGTGACTTAATATTTTGTCTAAATTAAAAAGTGATCACGTTCGAGTAGCTAGTATCATGATTCGAAATATACCTGTTGCTCCATTGATACTCGAATGAAATGTTCATCTTTGCGGTTGAAGATGTCATCGCCAACTTCTCAATCGTTGACGAAGAAGGCCCTACCGCAGTCTCGTCGCATCCATCGAAGTCACTCGCGTCGAAACAGAAAACGGGAACCATCGTTGGAACTACGGGAACAACCATACGTTGCATCCTCATTGGGTTCAGCAGCCGTCACTACGCATTATCGCGTCGCATGGTTGGCTGACGAATCACGTAGGATGCTCGACCAAATGACTGTGCAGCCTCTGCGTGCTCTTAGGAAACGGAAAGGAGCATGGATAGACACTCGAGTACTTCGAGAAGAGCGAAGAGGCTCTTCGACGCCACGCTCTCGAAGAAGATCGTTAAGCAAAAGTGTGTCCTGGATCCTTGGGTAGCGAGGAAACGCTTCGTGATGCACAATTATCGTCTGTAATCCCCTTAAGATAATAGACCGGAGAATGAAGTACTCGTGTCTCGTCGAGGTGCGTAGGAACCTAGCGAACCGTTGTTGGAAACTTGTGACAGGTGCATTTTCTTTTTCTAGATATATTCCAGAGAACACCGTGTAGAGGAACAGCTGGAGTACGGATGCTTTCGTATTTATTAATCATAAAGAATCGAAGCTTGAACTTAAACAGTGGGAACAACATTGAACTCGAAATCTCCCGTGTCTTTCTTCCGAATTCTCGCAAAGGACAGGAAGAGCAAACACGGCCTTTTGTAAGGATAGTAAACACGCCAAGTCCCGCTCAGATACGTTTCCCGCGGTCCTGTTTATAAATAATTTATCACGTGTATCGCGATGCGACCGATGAAAGATGTTGACACACGTGCAGCTGGCTGGAATTCTTCGTCGGGATGCAAAGAACGGTAGCCAGGTCGAACACGCTCGCGTTAAGTCAAAAAATCAACATTAAAGCGAAGGGTCGTGCACGCCGCGAGTCCTTAAAAAGCCCTTTACGGGGGCCAATGAATTTTCTTTGACACAGATGCCACGCTGCCGACCGTCTAAGCTCCAATGGCTGATCGAGGTGCATGACTTCACCTTTTCAACGCTAGTAAAAGAAGAAACATGTCACGGTTACGCGGATTTCAGCCTAAAAGTGGACTGAAGCTTGCGGCGATCGAACCTTTAGCTATTCCACGTTGCCCAGGGATCGACAGATCCATGAAATACCTTTTTAGATGATACTGAGATTTTATTTTGACAGGGATTTGAAAAAGAGTCTATTATACTTCAATGTGAAAATGATATTTTTATTAAAATTCGTATACCTCTAGGTGGCTCTACGAGGCAGCCGTTCGAAGAGATGATAAGCGCCAGACTGAAAAGGACGAGGAAAGTAAATTAATCGAGTAGCTTTCGAGTTTGAATAATGCACAACCACCCCGGGTCAGATCAAAACAGCTCAGATTCTAGACACAAAATAAAACAGGACACGGCGGACGTAAGTGGTGAAACAAACTCTGAAATTTGAAGACTCCTGTCTCTAGCTCGGGAGACGTCTGTAAGCGACGACGTCGGGAAGAATTATCGCGGAGGAGCATCAGGAAGTGTCCCCTTACATCCAAAGCGGGCACGCCGATTTTTCTCGTTCCACGTTTCCACCTCCGACGATCGATTGTCACCAGGGTGTTCCTTCGCCGAGGGAACCGCGACCCGAGGGAAGGATATTAATATTCCGATAACGTGTTCAGACATATTAAGCGTCTTTGTTTCGCTGGCTCCGCTCCGGGGTGGAAGATGAACGTCCCTAAGATAAGGAACTTCCACGAAGACGCTTCCCTTCTGCTTTATTATTCTTGCTCGTTCCACCTAGGTTTACCGTCGTGGACGTCTTCGCCTGACCTTGCATCTATTATCGTAGAACGTGCTCCGTTTCACGATGCAACGCGCGTAAAGTGAAACGGTCTGCGATCCACTTAGCATTCGTGAGTTCAAACTCGCCTTATTTATTTCAAGAGGGATGAAAATTCAGTCGGTAGCTTTATTTTCTCACTGACAAATACGTAGACTACGAGACCAAACTTTGTTTGAGTTTCATAAATTAAAAGCTATTCTTGGAATCTCCTATTGAATCGCGATTACTCCTAAAAAATGATTACGATTTATTCGAGCAGAACGAGACACTCGTCCTGCTTGCCTGCCAATGATACACTCTTCGTTTCTTCCACGCGACATCCCCGATAATCTCTCCCAATCCTCTTACAAGCTTTTCGCGAAGTTCCCCGAACAGGCGTCTGATTCAATTAAGATTGTAAACGTCGACTGGAAGCCTGCATCCTTGAAACGCGTTCGCGACTTTCAGGGTATTCCCTCTTATCCAGGAACTAGACAGAGTCCAGGATTCCTCCGCGTTGTTCCAGCCGACGCTCGCTTAATCAGGATTAACCTTATCTGGAACTCATCGTTGCGAACAAACTGAGCCTGTGATTCTTCGTCCATGCTTCGTTTACCTCTTTGGGATTACCGTGGATAAGCTGTTCGGTGTCCTGAGAGGATGAGAAAAGCGATTTCGTGTATAATCGCCTGGTTCCAGCTGTTTATCGCCGGACAACACGGACTGATACCGAATATTTAGGAGCAACCGTACAAAAGTCCTTGGTAAATACATGGCGAGTTCAAATTCTAAAGTCTTACTTTGTCAACATTTTTTTGTAATCAAATTTCCCCTCATTCTATTCAGAGTTATACTTTCTGTATATACCAAAGAGGTCTCAGAGCCTGAGGGTTAAAGTTGGTAAAGCTCGTCGACAGCACAATTATTAGAATTTTATTACGAAACCAAGCTGACGACCCGTTCTTGAATCGCTGGGATCGGTCAGACACAACGTAATCGCGATTTCCATCCACGAATCCTTTTCTTGTCGAGCTGGGCCCAACCATAGTCCGAGAGGATACCGTGAACGGCTATCTGAATCCAAGAGGACGTTACGCGACGGCTCTAAAAGTATACCGCACGGTCCCTCATTTTTTTGAGCGATTTGAGGGTCCGCTGCCTACCTGCGACCTGGCCCACCGAACCTACGAAACCCTCTCTCCCTTGCACTCCCCTTCAGCGATCATTTTTATCTTCCTTTATTCTCCTTTCTTCCTTCACCTTTCATCGCGAACCTTTTTCCTCGGGACCGTGATCACGATCGAGCTTCGAACGCGTAATAGATTTAACAGTTTCATTTGGGTCTCGTGGTTCCGAGATCGGTTCAAGAGGTGAACAAAAAAAAATCTCTTCGACTCGCACACAAGCTCAGAAATTGCATCAAGCCCGTATCGAACCTCGGGGCCACCCTTCACAGTCCCTGCGCCGCTTTCTTCGTATGTACTTCGAAGTTTTCGTGGTCGCTCAGGCCTCAGTAATTTTATTATACCATTACCTTTTCTCGCGAATGGCTGTTTTGGTTGCTGCTCGGAGGATACCAATACCCTTTTAATCGAGATTTCTGTCCTTTGCGCCTTATTACAAATAATTTATCCCGAAAGTGGCTCGCCCCTATTATGCCTTTGCTATTTCTATAATAGTTAGCGAGAGACGAACCAATTACCCTTAAATAGAGGGGATCGAAGGGCAATTTGGGAATCGCAGCGTGTCGTAATTCCCAAATTGTTGATTGGTAATCTCCTCTGTGGAACTAATTAAGGCGGCGAACTCAAATCCAAGGTCCAAATTGTTTTCTATGCCGGCCTCTCCTCCTCTGTCCCTCGAGTCGATAGCCTTGGGGATCGCCTTTTTTAGACCGTAGGGATGGAACGGATGTGTAAAAAAGAACGCGACAAGATATTTCGCGACCTAATGAACCGGCTTAGCGACTCTTAACGTAATTATCTTTTTGATTTACAATAAACGTTGTCTCGTTAGCAGGAGTCCGTTTCGTCGCCGCAGTTTCACGAAATTTATGGATTCCGTTGAGTTTTACGATTCGCCCATGTATGTTCGGAATAACAAGGTATCGCTGATGTACTGGCTAATTAATCGCCATTATTTTTGTCATTATACGAACGATATATGGGTATTATAAACAGTCGAGCGTAAAAGTGTGCTCCATTACGGGATCTTCCACTCTGGAACTCTGCGAAATGTCTGACAGCTGTCTTGAACTTTACACGTTTACATTCAATATAGATTCTAATGAGTAGGAATTTCAGTAAATAACATCTTGGATTTTTCTATAGAAAATTCATAAACCATGGTCGTTTCGTTGACTCTTTAGGTGCGCCACAGAGCTCGAGACAGAAGGCAAAGGAAAGAGCTCTAGGCGAAGAATCTTCTCTGTTCGTTCGCAATCCTAATTCGTTAAGTACACCAGAGTCTACAATTTCTGCTGGAAACCTGACAGGTCCGATCCACAGCGTTAAGAATACAGCATTGTTTGTCAGGGATAACAAAAGCCGTTCGAAAGAATCCTGAAAATCATTACAGGGAACACCGTTTGTTTTCTTTCCTCTGTCTTGCCGACTTCAACGCCCGACAGACCCTAAAACGACCATAAACGTTCGCAATAAAATAGGATTCTCCGAGAAGGAGGAAGAAAATCTTCGAGTTCGATCGTGCTATTCCGAAAAAAAAGACATCTTTCTCGACATTAGCCACACCGTGATTGCTTTAATGGCCCATAATCGCTACTTTGAACCGACAGAATTGTCGCATGCTGCCACTTCGGCGAAGAGCATCTCCTCTCGGACCCCCGACAGATACTCCAAAGTCGAGGGACCATCGTTCATTTTCCTATCGCTTCGTTCGCTGGGGCATCAGCTGCAGGAAATTCGGAGGACTTCCAGGTCCTCGTGGAGAACGCGTGGCCATCTGTCCACCGAGCCGAAAATCGGAAAACGCTTTTCGAGATCGTCGACATATGGCACGCGGGACCAAACTTATCTCGAGGAAAAAATACGCCTCGAAGGCGCGGCACTGTCTGCCGAAAATGTTGCGGAGGTGGAGACGAAGGCTGGTCGAGCGCAGCGATGGACTCGAGCGGGAACCGAGCTCCACTTTGATTAGGGCCAAGGGTAGAATAGAATTCTATTCCGAAGGGTGAAATAAAATTCATGTAATAAAGAGATATATTACTGTCTTGAGAAGGTTTTCCAAGAGGACTACTGAAACATGATTGGCCATCGATACCTATACCTTGCAGCCTGTCACGCGAGAGTTTCTAGGAAACGCAACTAAAATGGAGTCCATTGTTCTACCCTTAGTCTTCTGAAAGCTTTTGCGTGTCGATTAATTATTATTGTTGCGTCGTACGTCTAGAACAAGGCCCGCCTCATTAGCCGATATCTCCGTCTAAGGGCTCGAAGATAAGGAAATTGAACGCTTCGTGCAAAAGCTCGTTAGCGTTGTCGAATAAGCGAACGGAGAATGTTGGAAAACGAGCAAACGACGATTTCTCGTGTTCGTCACGGGAATCGGATATACGCTCGTTTCACGGTCTGTAATTAATAGTTGACGTGACTCGATACGATTATCCGCGTGTCCCGCCGATCGACGAAACCGGAGCAAACCGGTCGCGTTTTAGCTTAGCGCATTAAACGAACCTACTACTTGGTACAACCTACTCCGACAATTGTGAAACTTTGGCTGCAGTCTCCCTTCGAAGCTCTCGCTCCGCGTGATCGATTAGCTGCTCGTGGAGAGGGCGATGGACGCTCCGAAACTATTACAACGAATGATGGATAGTTTTTCAGGTATACCGCGCTTTCACGCGAGAAAAGTATCCTCGTCGATGAAAGGAGGAATTTTCAATGATGCAGTGGGTCAGCAATCCGCGATGAGACGACAATGTTTCGGAGAAGAAAAGAAATCGCCGTGACAAATGGCAAACTTGGGGTATTATACGGGTAAGGGTATATTTGCATTATCGACGAACTGTTAACATTCTGTTCGCAGATGACGAATACATTTTTAGATAAGCAATATCCGAGTCACGGCAGTGTTATTTCGTAGTTTTACCCAAGATACCTGTTATTTCAAGAGAACCCATATTCTAACAACTGAAATCTAACTTCGGTTACTTACGTCTCAAATGTCACGAGCTTCGAGTTTCCTTATTGACCAAGAAATTGAAGAAAACCAGAACACCAGACGTCGAACGTTCAGGCACCCCGCGCAGTGGACGCGTTTCCAGGACTGGCGAGATTTGAAAAGACGCCTGGATCGTCGGCGATCTATCATCCGGAAGAGAGCAGAAGCGTCGGTGTAGGTCAAAGTGGCCGTGAATTTTCGCCATTCGGGCCCCTCTTCGTTTTCGTCGGGCCCATTCTCTACCACGCGACCATATGGTCGCCGGCGGCGCTGGCCATTATTTTCTACAGGATCTGAGTCCCGACCGAAAAATGGGAGACGGGAGGGGAGAGGGGGCGGTTAGCCCACCACGAAATTGCCCGAAAATTGGCCCAAGCTCCGTCCGCCTCATCTTTTTCCCCGGATAATTTCATAATTTTAATTTGAATTTCAATGCAATGCTCGCGTCCTGCCACTCACCGGGGAACAACTTCTCGGTTCTCCTTCGAATTAACCCTTCAAGCTCGAAACGCGACTGGTTCTCCTTTTTCAGCTCTCGCGACAGTCCGCTGGGAGCAACCTTGATGTAGACGTGCGTCTTCTTACCGAAACGAGACGAGTCGTTATTAAGGTAATCGAAATTCGGTATTAAGTTGATTATTACCTCACTGTTGGTGTTGTCCGCTCTTGAACGTTGTCGCTTTGTAGTTTTTATTATGGATACTTGTCTTATATAGATACAAATTTTGGCTAAAAACGACTTTAGAGTATCTTAGATATTACTCTACACTTTACTCGCGATAATTTATTCATTTATTTTAGAATTAATACCGCCAGCTTGCTTGATCGATATACATTTGGTGTTATTGATTTTTAATTTTGTTTGGATCTCCCCCTCGCGCTTCATCATTTGTTATTCCATGGCAAAGAGGCCATTAAACAAATTTAATAGATATTAAGAATGCAAAGGGATGAGAAGTTCGATCGAATCTCGGTCCACGCAGCTGTCTTCCATCCTCTGGTCTATTTAAGGATCGTTTTATCTTCTTTCGTTCCTCGACGTTCGCTCTTCGTCTATATAAAATATGCTAAACGCCCGCGGAGCCATGGCGCCCCCACAGAGCCCTCTCCCAACGCTGTTATTTACGAATTATGAATGTTATAAGACAGAGTATAATGATCGCGACGAGGCCGAGCCAATTTTCGCCGCTTTAACCACCGTATCCTTAATGTG